AATCAAACTAAATACTTTTGAACAAAGCAAGAACTACAGTTTTAGCAGAATAAAATGGTACCATCATTGTTTATTTTGTTGCCTTCTCGTCAGCTGCTTACATGGCAAAGACATTATTAAATATATCTACAACAACAATTTTAACATACTTGCACAGAGTTAAGTTTAAACAAAAATCAATCGATCAGTATACTCATACACTGAAAATATATACATATATAAATATGCAATATTAACCACTATTCCGAACAATAATAATCAAACACAATGGAAACTTTTAGCATTTCACATTCGGATGAAAGAGAGGTGAAATTATCCAGTTACCAGGGCAAAGAAAGGCTGATAACCGCTTCTTTCTGGACGCATAAATCAGGTTTCAGGCACTTGATGCAGATGGCTTCAGCGAACTTAATGAGAATTGAGCTCTTTTGCCTATTGATAATTTTGAATGACTTTTCGACCTCCATCTCATGACCCGTGTCAAGGAGATGTCTGGCAATGGCACTGTTTAAAGCATTTGTTCCCTTTAGACGTAAGCTTTTTGGTACATGTTCAGAAAATCGTAGATATGCCCTTCATTCTGTCCTTCCAATGTAACTGCTCCCGCAGATACATGTAAATTTGTATATACAGTAGGAGTTAACATGAGAGGGAAATCTATCGATTTTTGATTGCACCAAAGAGCAAGTTGTTCGATAGACTTGAAGGAGCTTAGCTGCAGGATAGGCTATGGCTAGTGATGTACTGAGCCTTCTGTTGATCATCGCTGCAATATTTTCACCTTTATAATCAAGCTGAAGGTAGATTGGCTTTTTTCTCCACTGTGATTTGTTTTACTTTTGTGACTTCAGATCTTCCATACTTGTTGATGAACCTTTGAGGATACCCATTTCTCTTCAATATATTTTCAAGGAACTCAAACTCCTCCTCAAGTTTCTCTGTAGAGCATATTCTCCTCGCTCTATAGTACAAAGTTTTGACTAGACCACGTTTAAAGCTATGTGGACAAAAGCTATTAAAATGCAAGTATTGTCCTTTCCATGTGGAATTTCGATAAATTGACTTTTGAAGACTACCGTCTTCTAGGCGTTCCATGGCTTGAAAATTATTCTGATGCTCACTAACGACTGGACCTATTCAGACAGTAACCTGGTGTTCTAGTGGAAAGCCGTGACCAGTGAGGTGTAGCAGGTTGAAGGTGAGGCAGTAACTCATCGAAGCAGACATTGCGAAGTGGTCCCGCTATGTAGTGAATTGTCGGAAAATAGAATTCATGAAGTGCCCATTGGATCAGGTCCTAGTGTCTCAATGATCTCCGAGGTGGCTCACCTTGTAATCAGAAGTTTCTGGGTTTTAACCGTGGAGGTGGGTGCGTACCGCTGAATAGTTTCAAACAAGAGTGATTAAACAGCTGTGAAGTACTCCCAGGTGGTTTTCCATTGGTTCCCTAACTGATGTCAGCTCGTGTTGAAATCCCCCATCCAATCTAACCAAAATACATTTACGATTGCACAGCCAAGAAAATAGATTCGCCTAAAGGAGACTCTTCGCTGAACTAAGTGTTTTGTTTTTAGAGTGTATTTGATCCATCTCCATTTATTTTCAAATACTTGTTGGGTGAAGATTCTTGGTTGGTTTGTTGTTAGAGTTCCTTATTGCTTACTCTTTCCTGCTAGTCAGCTATCATCCACTATCTAGCGAAGTGAGATAATGATGTTGATGAAGTTTGCATTAGCCTGCTGGGAGTGCTTCCCACGACTAGCTCACGAAGTTTCTGAATCATATAAAGGAAATAACTGACTTGACATCAGCATGAAAGATAAGAATTTTGTTCCTTACGCTGAATGCAACAAATTTCCATAGTGATTTCAGAATAGTGCAAGTACATCTTGATTTTTCGAGGCTCATTGTCTTTGAAATCTTCATCCATACATACTATCGGCAGCTGAGACAATGTTGCCGACGCAAGTAAATGAGACTATTTCAAAATTTCTTCTGTTGATGGTGACTGGTGCTTGTTATTGTTGGTTTGGAGTTTTTCCACCACCCTTGTCTCCCCCCATGTTAATCTGAAGTCCTGTCTTCACTGCTTCTTCAGATAACTTGTTGTTTTCTTTTTGCCTGTGGATTTTCAATTTTATGCGACATTAGACGCCAGTGATGGAGACGTCTAGATCTTCTGGAGTCTTTTTCTCGATCCTGCCTTTGCCTATCTTCTTGGTCACCACGGTATGTTGAATATTCCAGTTCTGAAGAATCAAGATTGCCATCGGTGTTGATAAGCAGCATTTGCTTACTCTTGTCTTCCTATGAAACATTTGACTAAACTTTACCTTGTGAATCACCTGCTATATGGCACTATCGTATGGTTGCTAACTGAGACTTTTAAAGGTTTGGAACTGTGTACTCCACAGTGTTATATAATTTTGCAAATTACTTCATGGTAGGCTGCATGAAAACCTTCTTGAACGTCAATGAAGTTTTGATGTAGAGTTTAGCTGTTATTGTACCATCTGTCTGATAATGATGCTTAGCGCTATAATCTGGTCCATACGTGATTTGCCTTCTCTGATTCCAGCTCGTCCTCGATGGAGGTTTGTATCCAGAGCACCTTTCGGTGTCCAAAGGATTATGCAACCTAATGTTTTACTTGAGGTGGAGAGGAGCATGATTCTGCGTAAGTTTTCGCAAAAGCCTAAGCTGCCATTCTTTAATAGTTTAAAAAGGGCAGCTTCTCTTCCAATCAGCACGCACTTTCCCATTCTGTAAAAGCATTTGTAATAGTAGCGTGGGACTTCAGGTTCATCTAATATTTAGGTATCTTTCAAAACCACTGATATAAGCCTAAATATAATTAGACGGAATAAGCGAATACAACGAAATGTAAAGCAGCAAATAGACTATTCTGTCATTACACTGATACTTAACTTAAAAGTTAATAAATTTATTTTAACTAGGAAATTGTAATTAAACATCTTAAAATAAAAAAAGAATTTAATGCTAAAATGGTAATCTTTGGATTAATTTCTCATCAATGACTCTATACTTATTGATATTGTTAATCCATGTGTGTTGTACTGCAAATGTGTTATTAAAATACATATTTTTTAAGTGTGGCCACGGACTGATGGCAGTTAGAGAACTACTAGAAACCAAAAACTGCTGAACAGCTGTTCCGTCCTACTTCGTGCCTCTTCACAGTACGAACCTACCGAATTTCAAACTGCGGACCTCCAGATTACAAGACACACTCGTAGATCATTCAGCCACTGGGACCTGTCTCAATGGCCAATGAATTCCAGCTTCTACCAAATTGTGATTTTATCACAGTCACCAGGGAATATCATCGACGAGCACTTGTCTTCACTTCCGACTGGGTGAACCCCACTGGTTACCACTTTGTGCTAAAGTCACAAATTGGTAAGAGTCAGAATTCACGGGTCACTGAATCGCGTTTGCCATGGTTAAGTGGTATACAGGCTTGACTTGTAACTGGAAGATCTATAGTTTCGAATCTTTTTGGGTGTGTACTGCTGATAGCGCCCGAACTAGAACAAATTAGCTGTCCACTATTCTAGGCCGGTTTCCGATGAATCTCAAACTGATGTCAATCCTCTGGCCAATCCCTACAAACTGACTCTTGTAAAAAAGTATTAGTGATGAACTTGATTACAGAGTAAATATATTCCCCTCCTTTTAGTGATTTATAAATAACTTTAATTTCATAAAAAAGATGGCTTAATGATGTCTCATAAATGTGTGGCTGTCTTTTGATGAATTTCATTTCGCCATGTATCTTCGCTACTTTAAGTGCTGACTCATTCAACAGTTGTACGACAATACTGCATGCCAAGTAATCCACAACAGGTCACTCACAGAATCCTTCGAGGTAAAGACAGGAGTGAGGCAAGCTGGCTGGCTGCCTACTATCTTCAATGATTGATTTCCTGATTGTAGTTGACTCGACAATGCCACAGACAGAAGCAGGAAACGAGGGTATGGACTTCCTCCATGATGATATATGTCTGATTTCCCACAAACTCGAAGACACGCAAATGAAAAGGAACAATTTGGCGATAGACGAAACATCAAAAATAGGAAGCACTTCACTTGAACATAGAGAAAACGGATGTCGTGATGAAGGTTCCTCGCCAACAGCCACAGCAGCAACAACAGATAACAATCAGCATAAATGGGAGAAAGCTAAAAGAAGCAACCTCCTCCACCTACCCACCTACTTCGGAGGCATCATTTCAACTACAGGCAGATGGAACTGGCGAAGATATCAGAGCGAAAATCGGGAAAGTAAGACAAGCTTTCATTACTCTCACGTCTGTGTGGAGATCAACACTCAGCACTCAACATGAAAAATAATATACGGATTTTCAAAATTAATGTGAATTCAGTACTAATATACGCATTAGAGACTTGGCGTTGTGTCAAGAAGGGCACTTCGAACAAACAACAGACCTTCATCAACAGCTGTGTTTGCTCATTACTACACCAGATCGGATGTCCGGCGAGAAAAGATGAACAATAGGGAGGGATCTCTGGGAACGAACCAACTCACCAGGAACCAATTCTTCAACAAATATGGGGAAGAAATGGTGTGGATTGGCCATACTCTAAGGAAACCATCAAGTGAGTGACGTCACACGCCAGACCACTGCTCGAGTGGAACCTGAATTGGAAGTGGTGACTTGGTCGTTAGTGCGAGGGTGACACGGAGGCGGAAGTGATGTGAAGAAGAGATGAAAGCATGTAGGCAAACGTGGAGCCAAGTGAAAACGTTGGCAGAGAAGCGAACGCAATGCGGGCGTGCAGATGAATCCCTATGTTCCTCTAGGAACCAAAAGAGGTAATAATAATAATATATAATAGCTTCAAAATTATTCTTCTTGTACATTTCCTTTCAAAGTCTTTTCGCAGTCACAATATAACAAAATACGACACCGACTATCAATATACACTTCAAAATCTGTATACATGTAAGAACTCACCTGATTTATTTCTACAGCTCATGCAATAGATTTACTATGTGTATCCGTTGAATTTTTGCATTTCATAGTAAAAAAATAATCCACAAGCAGGTAGAGTGGAATAAGTAGACTCAGTGTGCCAAAGCATATTCCCATGATTTCACCTGTTTTGTTTTCAAAAGACAAAATCAATACAATAGCAGAAATTAGAGTAGGTATGTAAAAAGTAGATTGTGCTGAAAAGAGAGAAAGTTAATTGTATTACTGTTAAAGCATTATATATGTAGATAGGTAGATAGATGGGTAATTGTATAAACATGAAACAAACCTGTTTTTTATTACAGCTTGATTCCACACTGTATTTTTGGTACAAATATGGAATTTTCAGCATGTGATATCGGTAGCCCAAATTTTGTAGGCCAACCATAGACTTCAGGTCGGCACGAGATCGAAGCTCGAACCATGTGCATGATCGGCGAGAGTCCTAACCAGTGTGCCACCGAATATCACATTCTCCCATCGATTGGTTGGACCGAAGTGCTCAGTCTCAGGTTGACATGTTGGCTTCTTGTGCAGATGCTTCGACAATGCCTGCCCAAGTAATTAGAAGTTATTTGGTGTATGATGACTAGCAGGGGAATCCATTCGTTGGAAACTATGGGCACGGGGTTCGAGCCTCGGTGAGAACATCATCACTCACTGGAGAATGAAGGTACATCCAGCCAGTTCACGAATTCTGATCAGAGGACGAAGTGAGCATCCTGGATTCCACTGCCAGTCATCATCGACCAATTAACTTCTATAAAAGAAACCTATTTAAGAAGCATATATTGTTAAACTGGTGGTGCCTTCAATAACTAAATAAATTCATAATTACCTCACTATCTAGCGTTAAGGATGACCGGTTAGACATTCTTAATCTTGTCATACTTCTAAGTTTGATTTACATTCACTGTAAAACCAAGTATATTTCACAGTGTCATAAATGTTGAGTACAAAAATGCAAATTCAACTAGTGCAGTTCAGTGGACAAACTACCGACAAATAAGAACATGGTCGGCACAGTCGACTGAAATGTTTTTATTTTGTTTAAGAGTTTCTTTTTATCTTCTTGTTATTGATGGAACTATCTGAGAAATCCTTGAATAACCACAGTGACAGTGATGTAACGAATAATAACTGAATGCTGAATTAAAAAGTATCGACCGATTAGAAGAGAGGATAACCTGTCAAATTACCAAAGAAGGGTGACTTAGGCGTCACTCTTCAAGAACTGCCGTGGAATAACATTTTTCTCCACGCATAATAAAATACTAAGTCGTTTCAACCTGGAGAGAATAAAAGATACAGACCTGGATACAGACCTCCGCTCACTGTAACAAGCTGAATTCCGGAGAGGCAAGTCATAAGCTGGTCAAATTGCAATGTCATCGAACAAGACACAGAATGGCAGTCCATCCATTACCTCAACTTCATCGACTACGAAAAGGCCTCAAACAGACAGCATTGATCGAGAAGTTATTTGTGAACTAACTTCAACATTATGGCGTGCCGTTAATCATAATCAACCTCATCCAACGGTTAAATAATAATGTCACATGTCAAATGCTCCAGAATGGAAGATTCGACAAAACCTTTGAAGTGAAGACGGGAGTAAGACAAGGGTGCCCACTACTGTCACTAATAATATTGCCAACTGTAGTGGAGTGAATTATTTGGGAGGCTGTATATGAGAGCGAGAAGAAAAAGAACACGTTGGATCAATAAGAAGGCTGTAGAAGATCTGGATTTCATGAATGATTTATGTCAAATGTGACACAATTAGAAGACTTACAGGGGAAACCGACATGTTCACAGACGAGGCAGTCAGTTAATACAGAAATCCAGGTTAACATAAAGAAGACGGAGGTGATAAATATAACCGACCAACAACAACAACAACAACAACAAGCAATATAAACGGAAGAAATTTGAAAGAGATCACTGCCTTCACTTATCTAGGAAGCATCATTTCAACCGCAGGCGGAATGGATGAAGATGTCAAAAGCACAGTCATAAGTGCAAGATAAATGTTCACCACTTTAAAATCAGCTTGTAAGTCTTCTGTACTCTGCCGGACAAACAACGAAATTCAGATTTTCAATACCAGAATTAAGTCACTTCTTCTAAATGGATCAGAAGCTTGGAGTATCTAGCACGATAATTATTTCTAACAGCTAGCTACAGACTTTCAACAATGGCTTCCATAGTGAAGAGCAGATGGCTGGCATGAAAGAATTAGAAACTTGAAACTCTGGAAACGAACTAATCATTCAAAAATATGGTGAATAGACATGGAGGTGGATTGGACACACTCCAGGGGTGACTGTCGGATGAAATCACACCCCAAACAATTGCTTAACTGGAACCCGATTGAAATAGGACGATTCTATAGTTCTAGGAGGAGATGACAAATTATAGGCAATTGATCCCTACGTCCCAGTGTACACCAAAGGAAATGTTGCGAATATGAAAGCTCTATATAACTGTACAGCTTCAGCTAGAAGTTAAGGAAAGAGAACTCCTAGCTGACTTGTGTACCCTTAATTTAATATAATGATAAAAAATTTAATTTTTGACAAAGTACCAACCAAATAATAGGAGATTCTTTACAGCTTTTGCTCTAATTTTTTTATTCCTTTCAATAAGTAAACTTGATTCATTTGTCACATTTTGTAGAGTTGGATTTTAATTAATAGACTATTTCAGGGTAAACCATGGATTGATATAAGTTAGAAAACCATTGAAAACCAGAAAGTACTGTAGAGCTGTTTTGTCCTAGTCTTGGACTCATCATCAGTAATCACCCACTGGTTACAAGGCGAACTCGTAAACCACTAAGCCACTGGGACCTTAATTCAATGGTCTATGAAATCTAACCTCTACCAATTCACGGTTGTAGCGTGACCACTAACCAGTGTCAACAGTTGGAACTCCATCCTTCCTCCAAACTGGATGAACCCCATTAGTCACGACTTCTCATCAGAACTCAAGGCAACTTCGTCCTGTAGTCAGTAGCTAGCGATCAACGGATCAATTTTCCAATTCCCAAGGATGGCACTGGCTGGTGGCTGCTCTCAGATCATGAACTGCTAGAAATTAGAATCCACGGGCTGACCAATGAAGAGTTGCGTTCCAGTGGGTGAATGATAGTCAGGCCTGTCTTGTAACGGGAAGATCCTAGTTTCTAACCCCAATGGATGAGGACTGATGATGAATCCAAGATAAGGACGAAACATCTATCCAGTACTCCCAGCTGTTTTTCGATGGTCTTCTAACTGATATCAATCATTGGTCTAACCTGAAAGAAATAGAATCCCCTTACAAACTGATTATTGCAAATAATAATCTGTTGAAAATATTCTATCAACAAATTATGGGAATATATTTACTTACCAAAAGGACTGAATAATTTATTCATTGGTGTGAATTGTGTCATACTGAAACCTGCATTCGTACTTTCAATTTGTACAGTGAATGTGACAAGACTGAAATTAATTCAAACAAACAAGATATACACGTTTACATTGAAAAATAAATAATAGTTTCGGCTGTGACAATCATATTCATCAAGACTGTAATATGAAAGATCAGAGAAATTTAAATGTACACCTTCTGAATAAGAGTTCACTGTTGTCGAGTGTCGGAATATATAAATTATGTATGTGAGATTCAATAACCCCATAGATTGCGAACTAGATCCTTTACTGGTATGAAAAGGGATAAACTAATCGCCACCTCTTTTTTAGCAGTGTAAGTAATATTTCTGTAAATTGTAGTTAAAGTATTCATTTTCCCATGAAGAAATCACATAATTGGTGTGTAAACGGATGAAAAATGGATTGTATTATATAAGCGATATGGTAACCAAGGTCATTTTCAGAATAAACCAATCAGAAATGAGTTAACTTAAAATAGTGCTTACTATTTTATTGATCATGATTTGCAGACTAATTGACATATCAAGATTTCATTATGAGCTGACACTGGTTAGAGAACCATTGGAAGACCACCTGGGAGTACTGGACAGCTGTTTCGACCTGGTTTGCGACTCTTCATCAGTACGTATCCAACGTGATTCGATCCCAGAACCTTCTGGTTACAAGGCGAGCTCGTAGACAATTAAGCCACGCTTGAATATCAATGAGATGCTCAATAGCCACTTGCTCCATTCAGGTAGGTAGTTACCTGGGGTTCTAGTGAGAAGTCGTGACCAGTAAGGTGCAGCAGGTTGGGTGTGAGTACAAATACTCGCCATCGAAGACATTGGCCAGTGGTCGCACTATGTCGTGAATTGGCAGAAGTTGGAATTCATGGGCTGGCCATTGGATCGGGTCCCAGTGGCTCAGTGGTCTACGAGCTCGCCTTGTAACCACAAGGTCCTGCGTTCGAACCCCGGTGGGTGCATACTGATGAAGAGTCCCAAGCCAGGACAGAACAGCTTTCCAGTACTCTAAGGTTTACCAGTGGCTCTCTAACTGATGGCAGCTCATGATGAAATCCTGAAAACAATCAATCAATTCTCTCCAACCTGGGCTTTAATTGAAAAATCCTTAGTAATATTTTGAATCACACATTACCGTGTAAAATATACGAAGGCTAATACTGAAATATACATTTCGGCTCACGTTGTTTCGTGTTCTGACTTAGTTAGAGCGGACTGGGAATCAGGTGGCTGATGTATAATATTGTTGGCGTAGTCAGTGTGTCTTTGTCCAACTGGACTTCTTTATTTCAATCACAGTATTACTGAGAAATATACATGTGGTAAAATCATTGCACACACAACATGTTACTCACACACTCTTGTCAGTATGATACGCCGCACTAAATTTTCTTCAGGATTTTATGGAGACAAACAAAGTCAGAATAAGGAAGAGTACAGTGTTTTCTGAAAAACCATCCTCTTTAATATCTGTTTAAGTATATGTTTGTGCTACACATAGATACCTTTTTCAACTGATTAACAATAATTCACCGGTAGGAAATCCATGCGGTTTCGATCATCAGTTGAAATCTGCAACTTAGTTTGTAAATTTATTTTTGTTTTCTCAAAAACATCTTTACAAAACTGAAGGGATTTCATGTGGCATATTATTGATAATCCGGATAAAACAAGTGACTCAACAGAACCCATTAATGGTGAAAACAGGAGACCTCGCTCATCTATCGTGAAACATATTATAGAGACAAGACATAAAATTGATGTCCACCTATCTTTTAAATCTACCGATAAAACGTGTTTGGTGGAGAGCGGATCCAAAAGTCTGTGAAAGCCATAGCTAGCAATTAGGAGGTTTAAACCATCCTTTTGCGATCAAAGCAGCAATTTGTCATCACATTAAACCTTCTTTAGTAAACTTTGTTTTAATACTAGCCAGAGTAGATGTACTATTACCTCTGTTATCTTGTTCAGTGATCTTAGTTTGAAAACCATCTGCAGTACCATGCACTGCCAGGGTTCGAAACCAGGACATTCCGGTTACAAGGCAAGCTCATATACCATTCAGCCACCACTGGAACCTGATTCAATGGCTAATCGATGAGTTCTTACTTCTACAAGTTCGTGATTTAGCGCGACCAACAACAAATGTCATCGGTTGAAACGATATCCCTACTCTCGACTGGATGAACCCCACTGGTCACTACTTCTCAATAGAACTCCAGGAAACTCCATCCTGTAGCAAGTCACTAACGAGCATTGGATTAATTTTCTATAGTTGGTTTATAAGGATTAGTTTTGTTTTTACGAGGTGATTCTCAAATTAGGACGAAACAGCTGTCTAGTACTGCCAGTTGGTGTTCCAATGGTTCTCTAACCGTTATCAGCTCATAACGAAATCCTGTAACAAATCTAAACCATTTATCTCCATTGAAACATGATCATATACCCGGTGATTTGAAAAAAGTGGTTTTACTGCAATGTATAGTGAAGCATTTCGTTAGGATTGGAGGAGATAAAACAGATAAACCCATTTCATGAGTGTTCTGTACCTGGCTAACAAGCTCTACTACCTGTTATGACAGGTATATGACTACTTATTTCAACCAATCAGTAGTATATTTATCTTTATGAAAAATATGATCACCACCATTTATGTTATCAAGTCGATCACTTACTCTGATCAGTGCGATACAAAAGAACGCTGGTGAGAAGGCTTTTCTCTAGAGCGAAGAAGATATGTTCACCAAACAAACTAGACAGTCAACTGGTGCTTCTTGAAAAATGCTTGAAAGAAAATGGTTATCCACAAAGTTTCATTAACAAATATGGCAAGAATGAACTCAAGAAGCTTGAGACAGCTACAGTTAGTAAGAAGCCTATTTCTTTCATCATACTGGACTACAAGGGCGACGACATTATGAGAATGAGAAATAAAAGATTAAGGTCAGTCCTGTGTAGGACGTATCCTACAGCATTATTAGTCTCTCTACCCCGAACAACCTCCTCACTGGTGCAGTCAAAGATTGACAAGTACCCATCACATGTTACCTCCAAACTGTGTAAACCAATTCACATGTATCTGCCAGAGCAGTTACATTGGAAGAACAGAGAGGAGAGCCTACGTCAGATTCTGCGAACATGTACCAAAGAGCCTCCGGTTAAAATGACCGAATTGCTTAAGCCCATCAATCGCCAAACACCTGATTGACACAGGACATCGATTAGATGTACTAGAATCATTCAAAATAATTAACAGACAAAGAACTTCAAGTCTTCTCAGGTTTTCTGAAGTTATAGCAATAAAACGATTGAAGCCTGACTTATGTGTCCAAAAGTAATCCGTTGTTGGACTTCTGTTACCCTAGTGACTCAATACCTCTTAGTATCTCTTTGTTTTCTAATTTTGTTAACTTAACTTTTCACTCCCCTCGTCGATGTTTCTTTTTTCTTTGTTCACATTTATAAAAGGTAATCATTGTATGAAAATCAGTAAGTAGTTAAAACTATACTATTAGAAAGGATATAGTATCGACCAGTATACATACCTTGTCTCATCAAGTCTTTGTGATTGTTGGTAATCGATTGAAAATGTATTTATAATGTGTTTATTCCACTGAATAATAAAATTCATACTTGTCTGAAATACCTCTAACCTCTGAATACATGTGGCGATACTTTCACCTAGCTTCTCTAATTTCAAATTGTATATTGAGTCGATATGAATTTGAATCTGTGATGAACAAAGAAATTCATTAGAAGCATCACTCGCTAATCCTTGAGAGCTGCCTCTTTCAAGAAATTGAAGTGAATGTTGAACTGATGGTGAAACAGAGGATACTGAAGATGAAGATGAAATCAAGGAGGCAGCAGAGGTTGAAGATGATGATGATGAGGTTAAAGAGCTGCTTGATGAAGCGGATGATGCCGCCGACGAAGATGCAGACGGGGAATGGGATCCCAGCGTCATTCCAAATCGATTATTATTTGTTCTGGTTGTCATTTGCATACGTTTTGCTGACAATAACTTCAAGTACTTCCTCAAGATATCTTTTAGTTTTGAGCTGTATGTGGCATTAGAGAAAAATAGCTCAACAACTTGTAGTTCAATTAGGGCGGGATTTTTTATGAGTTCATAAAAGGTTTTATCCTCACTGTTGATTTGATCATATAGAGGTGGAGTTATATTACTTGTCTGGGGAAAATTGGTTTTGAGCAGTGAAGATAAATGTGTATGCGAAGAGAAGGGATATGCTTTGGTTATATTCAACTGTGAAGGATACTCTTTTAGGATTGCAGAATGCATGGAATGATTGTAATTTGGACAATTAAAGGAACTTGTAGTATAAAACGCCTCAATTAACGATAGCCTACACAAATCATCTTGAAAGGTTTGTGTAATATTGATGAGAGTTTCAAAATATTTAATGACCATCTTTGAACAAGTTGCATCTGTATGCGTCATCTAAACAAAGAAAACAAAAATAAATAAACAAACAGAAAGTTCAAGAACTTATTCTTAGTGTTTATCATCAAACGTAAAAGTTTAACAATACTTAAAATGTGGCAATTACTTTCTAGGTAGTAAATAACAGTGTGATCCACTATTCAAGATCCCAAATGAAACTCAGTAGCCATATGTACTCATACTATGGAGATCATGATATTGATAGAATTAATTATGTCAATTAATGGTCATTACCAGGCAGTTTTCTGAATAATTGGCATCAGAGTTGCATGAATTTACAAAATATGACAGAGAAGATTTGAAGCTCAGATGGATGATTTCGATGTGGTTGTGTTCTCTGAGCTGGATAGTTAATTTGCGAAGCTTTCATCACCCCCTGCTAGGCGACATCTTCAGCGCATACTTCAATTTGTTGAAGTGAGCTTTTAGATTTCTTCACGAGTTTATTAATCATCTCTCCTGGTAACCATGGATGTGATTGGTTGTTTTTGTGTGTATTCACAACCTCTGGGCCACTTGTATTGGAACTGATTGTTATTTGACTTGAACTTTGACCCTTTGTGTGTGAGGTTTCTTTCTTACCGGTTGATCAATTTTGTCTATCTCGATGTGTCTATTGATTGATGTTTCACTGGAATACCAGGCTTCTGAAAATTCTCTAGCATTCTTGTTGTTTCCTCTGTCTAATAGTTGAACGTTATCCCAGTCGAATTCATATCCGTGGTTATCTGTAGGCAGTGAGGCGATATGAAGGAGTGGATATCATGTCTTTTGATGGCCAGTTTATGCTCGTGGGTATGCGGAGGAAAGGAGACGTCCACTTTGGTCAATGTAGTGTTTTTCGCACTTGTTGCAATTTATTTTTTGTAGATGATGCTGGTTTCATCTTCTTTCGCTGCTAAGACTCAGCAGTTGAGAATCACACACAAAGGGCCAAAGTTCAAGTAAAGAAAAACAATCAGTTCCAATGCAAGTAACCTAGAAGGTGTGAAACACGCAAAAACAACCAATCACGTCCAAGGTCAACAGGAGAGAGTGGAGTGGAGAAATCTTAAAGCTCACTTCAACAAATTGAAGATGTTGCCTAGTAGGGGGTGATGAAAGCTTCGCAAATTAACTATCCAGCTCAGAGAACACAACCACATCAAAATTTACAAAATATTCATCCTTGGCACCAGTCAGTTTTAGTTTTTCAAATCGATATTTTGAGAGAGGTAATTACAAATTTCAATGACATCTGGTGGCGTGAAAATGAATGTGGATTGAAGATATGATCTAACTTAGTTTCATATCAATGAGGAATTTAGTTTATTTAGATTGATCCATGACAGAAATATCATTAAGCCATCAAATTGAAGCTTACATTAAGTTAGAATTCGACCAGATGGCCTTTATACCTTAACTTGAATATATATAAATGACAACTAGTCGTCATTTTGAAGTGCTACTTCTTCAGTAGACTTCAAGAAATTACTTGTTAAATAAATAAATAAATATATAATTCAGTTTTCACCACGGATTGATTTCAATTGTAGAACCAGAGAGTACTGGGTGACTGTTTCGTCTTAATTTGATACTAAACTCCAGTACCCACCCACGCATGGAACATTCAGTCACTGGGACCCCGTTCAATGGACTGAGAATTCTAGCTTTTGCCAATTAGTAATTTTTAGCCAGACCACCAGTCAGTGTCACCCCTGACTGGGTGAACCTAGTGATCATGATTTCTCATTAGAACTCCAGACAAATTTGTCCCGTGGGCAATTACTAGTGAGCATCAGATTAATTTTTACAAAAGTTAGTTTCTAGGTATTTGATTTGTTTCAGGTTTGATCATGAGGACAAATACACTGTCCATTGATACTGCTTGGTGGTCGGGCTAATAATTAGGAATTCGTAGAAGCTATAATAGGTGGGACTTTAGATGGAGTCCCAGCGGTTGTATAGTCTAGAAGTTTGTCTTGAAATTAGAAGTCCCCGAGTCGGCACGATGATGTGTGGATACAACTGAATAGTCTCAAGCTAGGAAGAATCAGCTGTCAAGTACTTCCTGGAGTCGAGTGGTTCTCTAACTGATATCAGTTCATTGATATAAGAATAAAACTTGTGCACTGTGGTAGAGTGTAATTCCATTATGGGTAAATTTTGTTTTGATAAAGTCTCACAGTGTTATACAGTAATGTTTACTGATGACGTTTCGAGCACAATTTATTGCTCATAATCATATCGAGGTAATCACACGACTTCCTAAATTCATTTATATAGTTCCATTGTTTTTCTCTTGATTTTCACTTGATTTGATTGGTAATAGTATTTTCCATATTTCAGGTATGAGTGATGAGTCATTCCTATTGCATGTGTTGGGTGTAGACTCGATGAACAAGGATTCAGTAATCAACCTCTCTCTCCACCTACCTAGACTTTTAACCCTCTCCCACCCTATTGTGTGGTTGAGTGTTAGTGAGTGAAGTGCAATTGCTGAGCTTTTTTCTAAATTACTTATCTTCTCGGGGTCAACCATTCTTACCTTAGCTAAATTCTTATGCTCTGACAATCTGACTACCCCTGACCTACTAGTTTGACCTATGTAGTTGACCTCACAGTCATTGCATGGTATTTTGTAAATAATATTATTTTGTCTAATTGGGTCAACTGGGTCCTTTAACCTACAGAGCTTGTCCCTGAGTGAGTTTGTAGGTTTAAATGCCACCCTAATTCCTATTTTATTCAGAATCCTACGTAGTGTCTCAGATGTCCCCTCTTTATATGGTATAACTGTGGATGACTTATATTCTTTCTTATTTATGTTATTATTACTAGTTTCACAATTATTTTTATTTTGTTTTTGGCCTTTAATGATCTTCCTAATGAATTTTATAGGATAGTTATTCAACACCAACGCTTCTTCTATCTGTTTTAATTCATCATTTAGATCTTTTTTGTGCTACTTAGTGCCACTGCTCGGTTTGTTAAACATTTAACTAAGCCTGCCTTAACAGTTAAAGGATGAGACGAATTAAAGTCTAAATATCTATTAGAATGCGTTGGTTTTCTATAAACACTAGTGTGTAGTTTGCCTTCTTCTATTCTTTTTATCTTACAATCTAACATAGCTAATTCTCCTTGTTCATTTTCTGATTCAAATGTGAATTTTATTTCCTCAACTTGTGAGTTTATATGTGTCAAGAAGCTAGAGATGTGTCCTTTTTTTAACACTGTGAAAGTGTCATCCACATATCTCCACATTTTGGAGTAGGGTTAAATGTATTGAGGGCACTATTTTCCCAGCTGTCCATAAATATGTCTGCTACGATAGGGGATATTGGTGATCCCATTGCTACACCTTCTGTTTGTCTATATATTTTGCCTTGGAACTTAAAGATAGTAGATGTGAGGCATAACTGAATCCCTAAAATAATTTCTTCAATGGACAGCTTTGTCCTATGACTGAGTTCCGGATCCGCAGTTAATTCTTTTTTAACTGCTTCTAAGGCCATATTAACTGGTGTATTAGTATAAAGACTAGTTATATCAAAACTAACCATTGTTTCATCATTCGCTAGTTGAATGTCATTTATTTTATTTTTCATCTCATATGAATTAGTTAATCTAGAGTTTGAACGATTTTTAATGGGGCATAGTATTAGAGCTAAGTGTTTTGATAATTCATACGCGATATCAATTCGTGGTCAAACTTGGAAGGAATCAAATCCTTACAAACTAATACTTTATTGTTTGTTGTAACTACAAACTTTTGTTAATATCAGTTATCAAAACGAAATGACTAACTTTATAAGAGATAAAGAACGCTGCACAGCATGACAGATTTAGAAGTGATGCATCTACCTTGAATAATAACTTCAATAATACGCTCACACACACCAAACTGTCATTGTCAGCACAAAGTTCACTCAGTTTTGAGCTTACTTCCATCTGCATTTATTAACATTCCAGTTATTGAAAAATGAATCTACTCTGAATCGTTTAAATGTTTAGGTAAATATCACAATCACAAGCGAAAGTGAGGCATTGGGATAGTATTCATCCCAAAAATCATATTCTCTACTAATAACTAACTAACTTTGAAGGACTCACAATTCATATTATTTAGGAAAAGCTTCTGCTTTTTAGTTTCATTGACAGTGGTGCTTTTGACGGGGTGTGAATGCTTACCTGTCGTCCAGCCGTCCACCTTTATCTAGCTTACTACTGGCTAAGCTAGGTTTAGGGGATTGTCAAAGGGAGGGCCGCACACCACATGTAGGATGGTTGAGGAGCATTCAACCGGAGAACCACCAAGGCACATTAGGTTACTGAAATACTCAAAATTATAAGGGAATAAGAATTTCGATACAACTGTCCTAATGTCCTTAATCATCTCGATAACATGTTGGTTATCGGTAACTCATGTCCTTTATTCTGATATGTGCATGCTTTCTACTCAGATACTCATCATATGAAATAACTGTACCTTTAAGGTATTTCTAACCACGAGAAGCCATCAAAGCTGTAATTTACGATCCGAAAACGTCGTCTTTTACAACTAATTCAAGTGTACAAAGTTAAATCAACCAGATCACTGAAAAATATGAACGTAGGAGAAAAGAATTTGAGGTTTTTTCTGAAAATAAAAGCGTTGTGAATTCCTACTTGAAAAAATATACTAATAATCGTTTTATTTCAAACAGCAATAATAATTATACAGAATGGAATTTTCAGCGTGTTTTTTATACACACTGCAACAATTCAGGTCCTCTCATAAATATGTACGGGTATTAAATTTAAAATAGTAATAATAATATTAATAATGAAACCACTATAAACAGAATGTTGGCAGAAACATAATGAAGTGTAAGTAGACGGTATCTTAGATGATGCATGTAATTATATTCTTTGCTTATACTTTGTATATACTTCAGTAACCGATTTAAAAAACTAATTTATAAGTTTTTTTCTGACATTTAACTCTCTCTTCACACAAACCCGGTGCTAAATTT